GGAGCTCTGTCACAGCAACACTGCCTTTCTCCTACAAATATTTTGTGATGTCCACTTGACTCTCTGAAATACTATTCATATTCATATATGCATATATAGACATACCTACACTTGTAAGACTTTTTGACGGCTTTATTGAGATATAATTCACATACATACAACTCACCCATTTAAAGTATACAGCTCTAGGCCCAGTATGGGGGCTCATGCCTATAATCCCAGCACTTTAGGAGGCCGAGGCAGGAGGATCACTTGAGCCCAGGAGTACAAGGCTGCAGTGAGCTCTGATCACACCACTGCACTCCAGCCTGGGTATCAGAGCAAGACCCTGTCTATTTAAAAAAAAAAGAAACATAAAATACATGATAAATAAAGTGCACAGTTCATTGGCTTTTATTATAGTCACATAGTTGTACACCTATTACCACAATCCATTTTGGAACATTTGCATTACCTTCAAAATAAATCCTAATTTTTTTCTTTCTTTTTTTAGAGGCAGGGTCTTGCACTGTCACCCAGGCTGGAGTGTAGTGGCACAGGTCAAAGCTCACTGCAGCCTCAAACTCCTGGCCTCAAGTGATCCCTTAGCCTCCTGAGTAGCTGAGACTACAGGTGCACAGAACTGCATCTAGCTAATGTATTTTTATTTTTTGTAGAGATGGGGTTTCACCATCTTGCCCAGGCTGATCTCTAACTCCTGGGCTCAAGCCATCCTCTGGCCTCTGCCTCCCAAAGTGCTGGGATTACAGGCATGAGCCACCGAGCCTGGCCTCCAAAAGAAATCTTGATCATCTTAGCTATGTCCCCTCGATCCCCCACCTCAGCTCACCCTCTCCCTATCCCCAAGCCACCACAAATCTATTTTCTGTGTCTACAGATTTGCCTATTCTGGACATTTCTGTAAAAGGAATCATACAGTATGTGGTCAACCATCAACACTATCTAATTCCAGAATGTATCTATTACTGCAAAAGAAACCCTATACCTGTAGGCAGTTACCCCCAATCCCCTTCCTCCCATTCCCTGGCAACCACTAATCTACCTTTTTGGCTCTGTGGATCTGCATATTCTGGACATTTATGTAAATGAACTCAGCTGTGGTCTTTTGTAACTGGCTTCTTTCACTTAGCATATTTTTTTCTAGATTCATCCACGCTGTAGCATGTATCAGTACTTTGTTCATTCAATTTATTGCCAAATAATATTCCATTGTATGGATATACCATGTTTTATTTTATCCCATGAGACTTTTTAAAATAAAGAAGGCATAAAAGGAAAGTGATTTGTTATAAAATAAGGTGAAGTTTATTTTATTTTTTGTTTCTTTGTTGTTGTTGTTGTTTGCTTTGTCTTGTTCTGTTTTTGAGACAGGGTCTGCTCTGTTGCCCAGGCTGTAGTACAGTGGCACAGTCACAGCTCACTGCAGCCTCAACCTCCTGGGCTCAAGTGATTCTCCCACCTCAGCCTCCCAAAGTGCTGGGATTACAGGTGTGAGTCACTGCACCCAGCCAAGGTGAATTTTAATATGTAAATAAATACTCAATCAGGACCACAATGGAAGGAATAATGAATTAGGCAGCTGCTCACACCTAAGCATAGCTAAGTGAGACAACTACAAATGTAAAGTGATCCAGAGTGTAATATTGGAGACTTAAATAATACAAATGCCGTTGCTACTGATGCCAGGTTTTCAAAAAATGATGAAAACTCTTGTGCAGAGTAAAACAAAGCACAATCCACTCTTGATTTACTGGTAGTTGCATTCCTGGAAATTTCAGTAGCTCTTAAAACCATGCAAACAATACTTGTACTTACGTGTATCATGGGGTTGGGCTCTGAGGTCAGAGATTTTTTTTCTGTTTTGTTTTGTTATTTATTTTAATTATTTATTTATTTTTGAGATAGGGTCTCACTGTGTCAGTTGGGTTCTGGGCTCAGAGACTTTATTTATTTATTTATTTATTTATTTTTGGCATCAGGGTCTCACTATATTGCCCATGTTGAAGTACAGTGGCACAATTACGGCTCACTGCAGCCTATACCTCCCAGGCTCAAGTGATCCTCCCACCTCAGCCTCCTGGGTAGCTGGGACTATAGGTATGTGCCACCAGGCCAGCTAATGTTTTTAATTTTTTTTTGTAGAGATGGGGTCATGCCATGCTGCCCAGGCAGGTCTACAACCCCTGGGCTCAAGTGATCCTCCCACCTTGGCCTTCCGAGGTGCTGGGATTACAGGCATGAGCCACCATGCCCAGACGTGGGCTCAGAGATTTAAAAACAGGCTCTTCATCCGCATGAATGTCCAACAGAACCTTCAAAAGTAGTCATATAGTGGCTGGGTGTGGTGGCTCATGCCTGTAATCCCAGCACTTTGGGAGGCTGAGGCGGCTGGATCACTTGAGGCCAGGAGTTCGAGACTGGCCTGGCCAGCATGGTGAAACCCTGTCTCTACTAAAAATACAAAAAATTTAGCTGGGCATGGTGGTGGGTGCCTGTAATCCCAGCTACTAGGTAGGCTGAGGCAGCAGAATCGCTTGAACCCAGGAGTTGGAGATTGCAGTGTGCCGAGATCGCGCCACGGCATATACCAGCCTGGATGACACGATGAGACTCAGACTCAAAAAAAAAAAAAAAGTAGACATATAGGGCCTGGGACAGCTCTTCCTTGTGAGGGACTGACTCTCCATTGTGGGGTACAGACACCTATGGTCCTCCCCACTGACAGTCCACATCTCCCCCCAGTCCTTGCAACAACCAAAACTGCCACCTCCACAAATTTCTCAGACACCCCCAGGGCTTAAGGGGACATGGGAAGGATTTTTGAGAGGGAGGAATTTCTGTGTAGAAATGCTCTCGGAGGTGCAAAAGGAGATGACTGGTTTTGAAATATCTCCGCAGGAATTAAGATTGATCAGACTTGCAGATGCTTGGACAGATGGGTGGTTGAAGGATGGGCTGCTCTGCAACTGAGAAAGGGGAGGTCACCATATTCAAATGACCAACTTCTTCATTCTGGAGTGTTCCCCTCCCAGGAGTTAGAAGGAGATTGAAATCTAGGTTCTTGGGTTCCTGATCCATTGTGTGACATCCAAGACATCCACTTACGTCTGCCTTCTTAGACAAAAGCCTTCATGTTATCTTCATTTTACAGATACGACAACTAGATTAGTCTGCTAGGGCTGCCATAACAAAGTGACAGAGACTGGGTGGTCTAAACAACAGGTGTTTATATCTCATGACTCTGGAGGCCAGAAGCCCAAGATCAAGCTGTCAGCAGGACTGGTTTCTTCTGAGGCCTCTCTCCTTGACCTTCTTCTCCCTGTGTCTTCACACATTGTTCCCTCTGTGTGCATCTGTGTCCTAATCTCTGCTTATAAGGACACCGGTCAGTAAATTACGGCCTGCCCTAATAACCCCCTTTTACCTTAATTACCTCTTTAAAGACCCTTTCTCCAAATATAGTCAAATTCTAAAGTACTGGGAGTTACGCCTTCAACATATGAATTTGAAGGGGACACAATTTCAGCCCATAACAGCAGAGAGTTAAACGAGAAGACCATGTCTAGGGGAGCACAATAGATCAGGAACCCAAGAGCCTAGATTTCAGCTCCATCACTAACTGGGGGGCCTTAGGACAAGTCCTTTCACCTCTTGGGCCTCAAGAGGCTCATCTGTAAAGTAAGGGCTTAATGAAGGCTTTTCGAGGGCTGGAAGTCAGAGTACTTAACGCTAAAAGGCATGGGTGGGCCACAGTGCAAGCTTGGAGTGAGCTCCTGGAAAGCCCCATTGGATCAGCCATTAAGCTTTTAGATGCTGGACACAGAGGAGGCACCAAGAGTCCCAGGTACATGGGACAGGGTGGTTGAGGGGCTATTCATTAACCAACTGTTGTGGATATATTTCAGTTTTTTTAAAAAAATTAATGTTAAGAGGCAAGGTCTTGCTATGTTGCCCAGGCTGGTCTCAAACTCCTGGGCTCAAGTGATCCTCCCACCTCAGCCTGTCAAAGTGCTGGGATTACAGGCCTGAGCTGTTGCACCTGACCTGAAATATTTCAATATGTTTAACAACCAGTTGGACCATACTGGTGCATGTCAAAAGGCCATGCTGGGCCTGATTTTGGATGCTGGAGAGGAGAGGTGGGGAATGACCTGAGACTTCGCAGTCTCCAGCCACTGTAAAGACCCTCCCTTCGCCAGCTTGGTGGCTCAGATCTGTAATCCCAACACTTTAGGAGGCTAAGGCAGGAGGATCACTTGCGGTCAGGAGTTCAAGACCAGCCTGGGCAACATAGCAAGGCCCCATCTCTACATATGTATTTTATATATATATAATTTTATTTCATTTTGTTTTGAGACAGGGTCTCCCTCTGTCACCCAGGCTGGAGTGCAATGGCCCGAGCTCAGCTCACTGTATCCTCCACCTCCTGGGTTCAAGCAATTCTCCTCCCTCAGCCTCCTGAGTAGCTGGGATTACAGGCATGTGCTAACATACAGCTGACTAACTTTTGGATTTTTATAGAGATGGAGTTTGACCGTGTTAGCCAGGCTAGTTTGCAACTCCTGACCTCAAGTGATCTGCCTGCCTCAGCCCGGCAAAGTGCTGGGATTACAGGCAAGAGCCACCGTGCCCAGCCTAATTTAATTTAATTTAATTTTTTTTTTTTTTTTTTAAGACGAAGTCTTGCTCTGTCACCCAGGCTGGAGTGCAGTGGTGTGATCTCAGCTCACTGCAACCTCTGCTTCCCGGGTTCACGCCATTCTCAGGCCTTAGCCTCCCGAGTAGCTGGGACTACAGGCGCCTGCCATCACGCCCAGTTAATTTTTTGTATTTTTAGTAGAGACAGGGTTTCACCGTGGTCTCAATCTCCTGACCTCGTGATCTGCCCGCCTCGGCCTCCCAAAGTGCTGGGATTACAGGCGTGAGCCACCGCGCCCGGCCTAATTTAATTTAATTTTAAAAAATAAAATTAAAGACCCTCTCTTTTGCTCCCCACGCAGGCCAAGCTGATCGTCCCCAACAGCACGGCGGGCCTGATCATCGGCAAGGGGGGCGCCACGGTGAAAGCCGTGATGGAACAGTCAGGAGCGTGGGTGCAGCTGTCCCAGAAGCCAGAGGGCATCAACCTGCAGGAGCGCGTGGTGACGGTCAGCGGCGAGCCCGAGCAGGTGCACAAGGCTGTGAGCGCCATCGTGCAGAAGGTACAAGAAGACCCCCAGAGCAGCAGCTGCCTCAACATCAGCTACGCCAATGTGGCAGGCCCCGTGGCCAACTCCAATCCCACCGGCTCTCCGTACGCCAGCCCCGCGGATGTGCTGCCAGCCGCGGCCGCAG